AAAAATCAAATTAATCAAGGAATAAAAATGTCGCATATATATATATATATAACTCATATAAAGATCACATATAGTACAAGGTTACAATATATCCGCGAAATTGTCGATTTTCTAAAATAGATTCGTTCTAGTTTTACAAAATAGAAAATTATATAAAATGGATCCTAGTAGTGATCTGTAAAGTGCAAAAACGGTTTGCCTTAAGTAGAGATTATATATGTACAAATAATCGGAGAAGATTTTCATCTCGCGATAATGGCATTATAATACCGCTTACGGTATTAATCCGCTACGTAATGAAAACATAGCGAGATTATTGTTGGTGTTATTTGGAACATACGTCAAGCATATTGTTATAACGTGCAAACTATCGATACCGATAAACACGTTCTTTCTCCTTTTATTCGTGTCTTTTCCCTTGTCTTTTCTCTTCACACAACTATGCGGCTGTTAAAGAACTTTTGGACTAATGATTAGAAAGCTGTCGATCAGTGTGATAATTTGGCATTCACGGAAAATGGATAATGCACGACGTTTGTGCATGTTTTATTTCGTATGCACATTCACAATCAGAATTTTATATATATTCAGAAAATTTCTGGAAAAATATGTTAAGAAGATTGTCCAAATCTTCAATGGAGGGGAAGAATTTATGTCTTAAGTGACTGATTTGAAGGTAAAAAGGCAACTGCTTGTTGCTATAATCCAATCAACTTGAATGAGCTAAAATCAAATTAATAAAGCAACGTGAATCGAACGAATCATTCGAATCTACGGTTGAGCGGCAAGTCGTTGTTGATCCTTCCACCGTCCAAAAGACAATAAAGGCAAGCAAGACAAAGGATGGAAAGATATGAACGAGACGAAACGAATGTAATAGTTTTCTTGCATCAGAGATACAAGATTACCTGTATCAACTTTAAAATAGAAAAATTAGTCACCTTCTCCCGTTGATCTGTCTACCTGAGATCTTTCGATTCGAGTTAGACAAAGTATCGACGTAACGACACATAATAATGGTAGAACCGAGATGGTCGATCAAATGCATGAATAGTACCTTGAATCTATTAAATCTGAACAGTAGCTGTACAGACTTGAAAACATTTCACAAGAAACAATGCAAAAAGTATTTATGCCTTTGTAAGAGGCACACTATTAGTGTAATATGCATCAATGAAACGAGAAAACTATATTGGTTTAACTGCAAAAACGTTCAGGAAAAAGTCAACTTTGGTCTCGGTGACGGTTATTACTACAAGTTACTCAGAATTATTAACGGTGCTTTGAATACTTGGGCCCAGCATTACATCGACGGTCTCAGCATTTCTCGCAGAGAGATAATGTTCAAGATTAACGGCACCGCCAAGAAAAATATGAAGCTCCTGAAGGAAGGTTGCTACTGTCATTACCATCCGCATATGACAGCGGATGCTTGCAACGCCGACTTTCTAAAAAAAGTCGTAAGTTTTTGGGCTGGTGAAGGACTTAGGGGAATACGCGAGAAGCTTCGCGGTATGACAAATTATGCTAAAAAGGTAGTGGCACGAGTCTTCGCGTTATTATTATAATTTCTATTTCTATTACTGTTACTCTTATTGTAGTCACTATCGTTACTGTTTGCCGTTACAGTTACCTTATATCACATATTGCTGTTGCTGTTGCCATTGCCGTTGCAGTTGCCGTTGCCGTTGCCGTTTCCATCTGCGTTTCCGTTTCCGTTTTCGTTTTCGTTTTCGTTTTCGTTTTCGTTTTCGTTTTCGTTTTCGTTTTCGTTTTCGTTTTCGTTTTCGTTTTCGTTTTCGTTTTCGTTTTCGTTTTCGTTTTCGTTTTCGTTTTCGTTTTCGTTTTCGTTTTCGTTTTCGTTTTCGTTTTCGTTTTCGTTTTCGTTTTCGTTTTCGTTTTCGTTTTCGTTTTCGTTTTCGTTTTCGTTATAAATATCAATGCCAATAACTATAATGATATTGATACTGACACTTTGAACTTTATCGTTGCCTGCATTTTTTACACGTCTTATTCCGCACTTTATTGCAGTATTATCATTTTTATCAAATCAGAGGATTGCTATTCGAAAATCCCACATGTTTAAATAAATAGGGATTATTATTATGTAAAATAGTATCTATAGATAATTTAAAATATGTTGCAAGTATCAAGTATTCCTGATATGTTATATTATGAAGTATGAACATTGCAATCAGTAATCATCGATAATTTTTGTCATGTGTAGTCCATGTATTCTAACTACTCATTTTACTTCTTTTTTTCTTATTCTTTCCATCTTATTTCTACAGATTCTAATCATTTTCTTCTATTTATATTTAATTTATGTTTAAATGTATCTCCATTGTGTCATTGTCAGTGTCGTATTCACGATCGTAATTAAAACTATGTATATAGACACATCGTTGGTTAAATAATCACGTATATACTCGAGATCGAACACGACGTGTATACACATTTCCTTACTTTATGTCTCCGCTAAAAGTCTTTTCAAAAATCGGCAAATCGATTAGTAATATAAGTAAATGTTGTAGATGTCGGACGATGATAAAATGTCACTAACTACTGCCGTTAGCGACGATGACGATGGTGAAAGTGTCATAAATTCACCCTATCGAGGAAAACAAACTGCAGCTTCGTTCAATTGCACAGGAGCGGTTCGTAAGGCTGGGTAAGTAATATATACATAATAGTGTTCTACTTAACGTTAAGTTTCTAACGGAAATGTTATCATAATATCAAATCACAGATACTTAAGCGTAAAAAAATGGCTATTGCGAAAGAAGCATCAAATCGAGCTTGCCAGGAAAAAAGGTTGGAAAGGTTATTGGGTTTGCTTGAAGGGAACTACGCTTCTCTTCTATCCTTGTGACTCTCAAGAAAGTAGGGATATGGAGGCAACGCCTAAACATTTAATTATTGTCGATGGTGCAATAATGCAACCAATACCGGAACATCCGAGACGAGATTATATATTTTGTTTGAGCACAGCATTTGGCGATGCTTATTTATTTCAGGTAATAATAAAACAGTTGCTACACAACTGCGTATACTATTATCGACATCTTTTCTTGATTATTTTGTTATCAATTACTAATTTGCGATCCTTCTTTATTCTTATATTAGGCACCGTGTCAAATGGAACTCGAGAACTGGGTGAACAGTATACATTCAGCTTGTGCCGCTGCATTTGCGCGTCATCGTGGTAAAACTGGAACCCTTCACTTATTGCAAGAAGAAATATTTCGCTTAGAAAAAGCGATAGAATCGGTAAGCTAATCGGATATTAATTTCGTTTCAATTTCATTCTGCTCTTCTAGCCCCCCCTCTCTCTCTCTCTCTCTCTCTCTCTCTCTCTCTCTCTCTCCCTCCATCTATCTGTCTATCTATCTGTCTATATATCTATCCCTGTTTCATCTTTCCTTTAGGATCACAAATTAAAACACATGGCTGATCTTCGACAGTCTGTTGTGTCTGATGCAGAGACAAAACAACAGATCAACAATCAGATTATTCAGTGGGAAGAAAATTTGGAGCGACTTCATTGCGAGCAATTCCGTCTTAGATGCTATATGGCGAGTTTACAAAGTGGCGAATTACCAAATCCAAAGGTAACTATACACTTCTGTGTATACTTTGATTAAGCAATTAGACGATTCGCAAGGATAACAATAGCAGAATAATATCTCGGAAGATTGTGTTCTGAAATTTTGAATTTAAAGAAACGATGTGCAAAATGTTTTGTAAAACATTGTTGTATCTGACGTTAACGTCAATAATTTATACGCGTTATACAATGTCGAGTATCGGAAGCTTGTATCGACCACCGTGAACCGTAAATAGAATCTTGTAAAACTTCAACGAGTTAGTTTCCGCTAGATTAGTAGGGGCAACCGATAATCTCGATATGAGAATCACCTCGATTCAAATCTTTTATTTTTTCCATAGAGTTTATTGACGCACGTATCTCGTGCTACAAAGCAGACATTCAATGAATTAAGAGTTTTCACCGTATCGTCGTTTCACGCTTTTATATGCGCGCGAAGCCCTTCGTTGCTGAACAATCTACTAGCAGGTCGAGGAGCTACTAAGAGAAGACCACCATTATTATCGAGATCCAATAGCGCATCCAGTAGAAGATCTCTTCAAATTTCGTCGAGAGACGATGAGAAAACTGTGAAGGTGTATGTACCGGATAATCAGGTAACCGACATCGATACATACAAAAAATGGCAATTAAAATGGCAATCAAAAGTGCGAATACCCATAGTTTCAATTATTACCTCCCTTTCCTTTTCGAAGAATAATATAGTAACGAAAAATATAATATTGAAACAGTGACCTCGCGTATGTTATATCTCAGTTCATATTTTTCTATACTTTCAATTTTAGCTGGTATCTGTATTTGTCCATGACGCTATGACAGTAGAGGAATTTCTTGCAAGTGCTTGCAATAGGAAAAGTCTTAATCCGATGGATCATTTTGTCCGTGTAAAGAAACGACGCGACATGGAAGATCATAACTATTTCGTACCACATAGAACTGACTTGATAGAGACTTATGTAAGTAATAATGCTATGAATTAAACGATTCACATATTTACAGTATCGCTACATGTGTCAATTAATCGAATCGCCAAATAAAGGAACGAAAAATATTTCAAAAATATGAAAAATTCAACCGATATACTAAACTGAAATTGTATAGTAATTTGTATTTTCATTATGAAATTTATCGTAGTCTTAAAATTTTCATATAACGGAAGAAGTGCATTTACTTATTAACTTATATTAATAAATATATTAATTTCTCTTCTCACTTACATATTATATATCGCTACGTTATTTCTTTAGTCCGTTTTCTTCAAAACTAATAATAAGACCTAGGAAAACTTATTTCTTTGTCGCCAAGTCGTTCAATTATCATTAATAGAGTGAAATAAAATGCTTAATCGTGACAAATGCCCTATGATAGCACAGGATAAGTGAAGTAATTTCTTATATGTTGCAGCTGCATACCCATGAAATTGTTGAAGTATGCGCAAAAATCTTATATCAAGTAGAATTACAAAGATACACTCTCGAACAAATGTGGGGTTTTTCGGTGGAAGCAGAGCTAATAGAGAATTCTGATCGGCAAGATGAATTGTGTTGTTACGTTAGCAGAGTTGAAGATAAAAGCGTAGCGATGCAAAATGGTAAGTAAATGCTATACTCGGTTTGTGTATGTGTCTATATACATATCTAATATTGACCGTGTAACCACTGTTACAGTAATTACATTATTTTAGTCAATATTCGATATATGTTCAGCCTTTGTAACTATATTAATTATACCTATAAAACTGTGATCACTAGTTATAACTTGTGAGGTAGATGTTGCATAGATTAAATGGATTAAAAATTCAAATTTGTAGGAAAATTGAATGAATTGTGTAAAACGTTCTCTATAAAATAGCTCGATGTAATATAAATAGGAAATCAGTTAGTCAAGCTCAAGTTCCTCTTTCTACCCCTCTTTGATCTAATTTAAGAATGAAGGTGAGATACACGTGGAAACACAAAGTGAAGTGACCTTAATCAGATTTTCTTTTGTCTGCATCTACAGAATATCTTGTAGAGAATGACATTGAAAAACATTGATTTTCTGTATTCTATTCCCTATTGATCGTACAAACGCACATATATGTACCTCATCGAAAGGAAGTACAAAACGTTACATACTATGTCCAAATAAAAAATCAAGTATTAAAAACGCTATATTTGACTAAGAACACTGAAGTATTTTTTACATTTTTCAAATTAACTATGGTAAATATCTTTTTTTCTTTTCTCTTTTTTTATATGTGCTTTTTTTCCTTTTCCTTTTTAAGTCAATGTTCGTCAATAATAACATTTAGATTTATTTTGATTTTGAAGTTGAACACTTTTTAACGTGATACTTTTCTACTTTAATGTTTTTCAGGGATAATTAAAGGTGATGAAATTATGGTGATCAACGGTGCAATAGTAAGCGATTTAGACATGATGTATCTGGAAAGTGTACTACAAGAAGAGGTCGGTTTATGCATGATGATGAAGTCTTCACGAACTGAACCACCAGATCTCACAGGCATAATGAGAGATACCGATGACATTATTGAAAGTTTGGTTTGCCCACCTCCACCTTCCGACCCACCGGTTATAAGCGAAGAAATGATTTCTGGTTTAATTGTTCCAGCTCCTGGATGGAGTAAGAAGTAGCATTTTCTTACACCTAGACGTTTTTCTTTATTTTCCACTCACTATTTAAATTGTTTTCTTTTTTTATCTCCGTATTTATAAATTACACTTGTAATTACACTTGTTATAATTGCTGTTTCATATCGTCCCTATGCGTGACAAATTATTTATATAAATTAAAGCGACAGTGATACTCCATCTTAAATAAAAGAACATTTGGTTTCTTTCTTTTCATTTTAATTCTACCCATATGACAAGTTATGCGTGTATCATTATTGCAGAGATGAGATTACTTGTCTATAAAAATTCAATGAACTGACATTTTGATTGTTACATCGTAAATGTATATGTTGGTTTATACAGGCAAAGAAAGTATCGTGCAGGAGTGTACGTCAACATCTCACATAGAAAATGGCAAACAAACTTCACGCACAAATTCATTCGAAATAGAAAACTTATTAAAAACCGCCGAACAAGTTACGGGAATATGTCGATCACCTGGTGAAACGAGAAAATCTAGTCCTACTGGAAGCGTTGTTAGTTCTCATTCTCAAGCTCTGACGCCAAGCCGGCAATTAAGCGATGCTGAGAAATTAAAGAAAGTTATTCTAGAATTAATTGAGACTGAACGTACTTATGTGAAGGTGAGTTTTATCGCGTCTGTAAAATTAAATTTCAGTGGATATGTTACAACATTATATGTTATATAGAATAATTAATTCTACAACTAAATAAATATCATATTATATAATAAAATACTTTTAGAATTTAAATAATTTGCTCGAGAACTACTTAGAGCCTCTTAAACGTGAAACCTTCCTATCAAATGCAGAGATAAACGCACTATTCGGAAACATACAAGAGATTGTTACATTTCAACGACAATTTCTACAAAATCTTGATCACGCGATCGAGATGGAAACTGATTTCAATAATTTTGATCATCCTAGTCAATTTAAGGTATATGATATGCAGAAATACGAATTAAAAAAGATATTAGATATATTGCATTCATATTGGTACAATATGTACGAAGAATAATAGTTATTTATTATTTTGCAAAGGGTGTCCTGTTTTCCATTGGAAGTGCCTTCTTATATTATGTAAATCATTTCAAGTTGTACAGTTCGTTTTGTGCTAGTCATTCAAAGGCGCAAAAGGTTTTACATCCAAGTAAGTAAACTTGCGATACCTTCTATTTAACAAAATTTATCTGTGTCTCATCGAATTGTCAAAAAGACAGTTTTGAATGCCCTTCGTTGTCTTTCTTTTTCTTTATTTAGACGAAGGAAACCAAGCTTTACAAGAGTTCCTGCAAGCGCGAAATCCAAGGCAGCAACACTCGTCAACTTTAGAATCGTACTTGATAAAACCTATTCAACGAATTTTGAAATACCCTTTGCTGTTACAACAGCTTCGAAACCTTACTGATGAACGGAGTGAAGAGCATCAGCATTTAATCGGTAAATCTGAAAAACCATTAACTAGCTATTGGAATGAATCGAATGAGCAAAATGTCAAAAGTTTCATGTTCCTTAGAAAGAAAAGATAATATTCTTCTCAAAGAAAACACAATAGGTCTGTATATTGTGTGTGCGTGTGTGTGTGTGTCGCATATCAGAATATCTAAGTAGTGTTAATTATGTTATTAATCTATATTTATTTAAATAACTTCGATATTAATAACTTTAATTATAGAAGCTTTAAAAGGTATGGAAAAAGTAGCAGAACATATAAACGAGATGCAAAGAATTCACGAAGAATATGGAGCCATCTTCGATCATTTATTCAGACAACATCAAAAATCTTGCAAACAGGTAAGCAGAAGAGATCAAAAATAGATATTTATCAATATCTGTTTTGTCTATTTTACATTTTACATTTCATGCTTATACTACGCTTTGCCAGCCGATCGACTTAAGTCCAGGAGATCTTCTATATTATGGAGGAGTCGAATGGCTTAATATTTCCGACTTTCTTGGTAAAATTAAGAAAGGCCTGGAATTACACGCAATGTGTTTTGTATTTAAGTCCGCTGTTGTATTTCTGTGTAAGGAAAGATTGAGACAGAAGAAGAAGCTTATGGTAAATTTTCTATTTTTTTCATCGTATCATAAAAAATATTTACTTAGATACGTATCTACACACACGCGCGCGCACGCGCACACACACACACACACACACACACACAAAAATGCATGTTTATTTATTTATTTCTTTGTTTGTTTGTTTATTTATATGTATATGTGTATGTTTGTTTGCGCGCGCATGTGTGTAAGCGTATGTGTGTGTATTTGTGCGTGTGCGCATATATGTAGATACATATATATGCATATATGCATATGCGCACACGTACACATACACACATGTGCACACATGTAACAAGTAATACATTAAACAGGGGGTATCCACGAAAGCAAATTCCAGCGAGGTAGAAATAATTCGCTATCAAGTGTTGATTCCTGTAACGGAAGTGCAAGTTAGAGCTAGTTCCGCCAAAGATATGGAATCTCATTTTCTATGGGAATTGATCCACTTAAGAAGTCAATTACAGAGAAGATCGGAGAAAATATACGTGCTTTCTAACAGGTATCGTTTAACGGTATTTTCACTTAAATTAAAATTTTAAAACATACGCGCTTTGATTCAAACCATCACCTCATCCGATGAATTTACCTGCATTAACTTGTCGCTAGACATCACTGTCAGGTACATTTATACATATATAAAAGTATATTTACCTGTCGTTATACATACGTGTAATATACCATGTGTTGTTCTACTTTAAGAGGAGCAAAATTCACAACATATCTGAATTAATTTAATTTAATTTAAGTAATAAGTATTATATTTAATAGTAATTATATATTATTGGGAAAAAATATGTTCATTCTTTTAAGGAAAAGGAAGACTTATTTTTAGTAGGTTAAATTCATCCTAAAGAATGGAAAAATATAATTAAACATTATGTATAATTTCCTTCGAAATGGAAAGAATGAAAGAGAAAAAAGAAAGGACAATTTAGAACGAATCATAGAACAATTAGACGTGAAATTTGTGTAGCAATCTTTTATATATTATTTTTTTATTCTTAGCACAACAGAATTTAGGAATGCATTTTTGAGAACAATACGTCAAATTATTCGAGAATCAGTTCGAAACATGAGTATACCATCGACAAAACAAAACTTGAGTCAACCACCAATGACCATTTCACCACGAATGTCAACTGGACATGTTGAGAAATTTGAGAAACAAGCGGCAAACCAAGGACAAAATGTCGGTAACGGTGGTACTGCAGCTACCGGTACGGTATCGAAGAAATCGGTTAAACCGCAATTGCTACCGACTTCGCATAACGTAAAACGAAAATACAGTCAATCGAAGCAAACAGTAGAACATGAAAGTTCTGAAGATAAAGATACCGAGGAACCAACCGGTACAATTAATCAACAGCCCACCACGTTTCGTTCTCGAAGCAAGACTATAAGTGATACATCTGGTAAAGTCGTTTTACTGTAAATCTTTATTTTCCTGTTATTCGATTGCACGAAATATTAAAATATTCGAAAATAGTATTCAATTTTTACTCGATTATATTGCGGATTCTAAAAGAAAATTATTTTAAATATACAGGGGAAATAAAAGTCGAAATGGATTCGGGGACAAAATCCGAGGGAGAAGAAGACTCGCAAGCTTTTTTAGGTGAGAAGAAGAATTTGGGCCGTACACCGAATCATTTGACTTTGAGCACCACTTCAACCATTTCAGCCGGAAG